AAAAAAAAAAAAAAAAAAAAAAAACAAACAAAAAAACCAAGTTACTTAAAACATAAGGTGCTTTTCATATCAAACAGCTTTTAATAACTGATTAAAAAATTCATGGTAATAACATGAACATGTCCTTCATAAATTGTTCTCATCTACACTTATAAACATCAATTCCTATTTTCCAGTTATATAAATCAAATCAAACCTATGAAATCCTTTAACAAAGAAGGAACTGATTCAAATACTTTTACACCATCTTTACCATATTAGTGGGCAAACTAGAAAAGCGTAATGGTCTATATTTACAAATTCTAAAATCTTTGGCAATACCAACACAAATAAAATTTTAATCTCTATTGCATAAACCTCATTCTATGCATCTTGCTATAATCTCAGCATATCCCAGCGATTCTCTTTATATAAATCACAACTTTTAGTAGGGTGAAACAGTAATGCACTGTACCTTTGACACTGCTTGCAGAAAGAAATCGACACTTGTTTTGGAATACCTTGGCTGATGTCTACTTTACTTCGCAAACAGGACACACAAATATTGGCAGGATTTGGACTAATTGGGACACCACACTCACAGCACAAGCTTGAATAAACAAAGGATAACTTTTTAAAATCATATTTTATAAACATATTAGTTAAATAAACTATCAGCCTGGAATGTAGCTCAGTGGCACTGCCTGGCAAGCTCCCCGTACCCTTGTACTGCGAAAAACAAAAACAAAAACAAACAAACAAAATCCAAGGGCGAGGGGATTTAGTTCAGTGGTTCCACCGCCTGCCTGCCTCGCAAGTGCAAGGTCTAGAGTTTGATTTCCTGTACTGGGGAGGGTGGGGGATCAAGTAAACAAAAGCCTTCAAGTTAGCTTATAATATTTCTGGCAAAAAAAAAAGACATACAGCCAGGCCAGGTGGCCCACACCTGTAATCCTAGCACTCAGGAGGCTGAGACAGGATGGAGGCCAGAGTGGGCCACACAGTTCAAGGCCAGCCTGAACTACATACGCAGCAAGGACCCGTCTCAGAAAACAAAACAAAACAAAAAACATAGAAACAATATTCCAAGATGCAGAAGATAAACTGGGTATAGTACAGAACAAAGAGAGACCCCAGCTAAGACAGGAAGATCTCAACTTTAAACCCAGCTCTGGAAATTTAGCAAGAGCCTGCCTCAAAATGAAAAGTCTAAAAAAAAAAAAAAAAAAAAAAGGAGTGAGGGTTAGAGATGTAGCTCGGCGTGAAGTCCTTGGGTTCAATCTTCAGAGCAACAACAACAAAAAATCTGCCTCATCTACTTGATCTCCCATTTCTTCTGATCACTATGTCCAGTGTTGCTCTTATAACTTAGTTCATTTACTCAGGACCTAGAGATGATGTTATAGCTTAATGAATGAGTTAAGAGCAGAAGGAAAAAAAAATAGATTACTTCTTCGACAAACATGCCTTAAAAGTTTTATCTATGGAAAATTTGTAAGAGATTATCTAAGTCATTTGCAGTAGTAATTAGACAGTAACATACTACCTATAAAGGCGATTTTTAAAAAAAGAAAAAAAGAAATGCACAGGGATTGACAAAATATAAGCGTTTACCCAGAGCAGAGTACTTTTAAAAGGAGAGGAAGTATATCTATGTCTAATGACTCAGTGTATATAATGGCAGTATCACAATTATAGATGCATTGGGAGGAGAAAAAGGTGGAAAACTACTAATAAAGACCAATGTTGTCCAAAAGAAAAGTCTAGCAATTTTCTAATGGTAGCCACTAGCCTTAGGTAATGACTAAGCATTTGAAATGAAGCTAGTATGACAGAGCAACAGTATTTAATTTTATAATAATTTAAATAGCCACATTTGGCTAATGGGAACATACTGGACAGTGTCAATCTACAAGAATGCACACGCTAAATATTTTAACCTTCTTAAAGTACTGTATTTATAGAACAAACTTTACAACTAAAACTGAATTCGATTTTCTACGGAAATAACTCATTTTAGTGCCACTTCCTTCAAAAGACTCCTCCCAAGTCTTTTCCAGTTAAGTTTGAGTTTCCCAGATTCAATTTAAAATCTTAAAATTTAAAAAGCTCGGTAAGGGCTGCTACTCACATGTGTCCAGGGCTGTGGGTGGTGGAGTCTGTCATATACTCCATTGTTCTGTAAACCTTGATTTAGGAAAAAAGTACCAAAAAATGGTGGATTTAATTCATTTGTCTATAGTCTCCTCTTCATAAAACTGGTCTTTATAAAACTAATCATCCTTCTGCCTCTGCACAAAGAAAAAGGGCTGCGTGTGAAGCAGGAAAGGCGGAAAACCAGATAGGCCTGGTAGCTAGAGAATTAAGCTTTCGGGCTCGGGACCAGGCAGGAAGACCCCGGGCCGCCTCAGCCGCGGACCTCAGGGGTAGCCTGGAGCCGGCCGAGCTCAGCGCAGCCCGGGCCCCC